TCTCCGAACCGAAAGTACTTACAATTAGAGGCATGCAGCTTTTGTGTTTCGTTTATTAAAGGAATAGCATATTATTTACATGTATTGCATGGTATCGAAATCGAANGACATCTGGAAACCTGTGGGGTCGTCACAGGATTCCCCGTCCAGTTTCGACGAGGGCGAAGGAGGTGAGACGATGTCGAGAGTCGGAAGGTGAGAAGGTCGAAGCTGAGAAACCGTCATGGATCTCCGAATTCTCTAAGCTCTTTTTTGAAAGACGCGGGGCGCGTTGTCGTGCGTGGGTTGAAAGACGTGGGACTTGTTGCCGTGCGTGTGTGCGATGGTCATCGAGACGTCGAGATTCGAGAAGAGAATCGTTTGCGTGGAAGATGCGAAGGTAGTAGGGAGGCTGCGTTTAATGTAGATATCTCGTCTACAGAAAAAAATCCAAATAGACTAAGCAAGTATCAGCTTGTAAATTGTGCAGTACATTATCTATTACCTTTTGAAACGTATTCGGAGCGTTATTTAAATCGAACGACAAGTGGCCGTTTCCTACGAAAAATGCGTCTTATTCTTTCGAATCCGGGTGTATCACGATTTGATGAAAACAGGACGCCAAGTTGATAGTAGAAATGTATTGAGATTTACCTAGCTTGACAAGAATATCTGAGATAATTGTGTAGAAGGTGTCTATCGTCAACGGTTTTATCATTGAATTTGCGCTAGTCAATAACAACGGGGCATTTTCTTTTCCCGCTAGCGTCAACCTTTTTAGGAACTATTCATATCGGTGAACTGTGTGGGCTGTATGAAGGTCTTATTAACCCCGTCATCTAACACTTTATTAATTTATTTATTTTGGAATTTCCTGCTTGTTAATAAGAGGGTGCCTATAGAATTCAGAATGTACAGGAATGTTATCGGTATTTCTAATTTTTTTAACTCTTTCAATAGAACTTAATTTGAAATCTTCCTAATGAGATTTGTCGGAATACTATGACATTTTTAATTACTAATAGTGGTTAATATGAAATAATAATGTGAAAATTCATTTTCGATTTTCTTATCCACTACAAACTACACAATATTTATTCGATTCCCGGTGGGGATGTGACAACAGCAACAAATAATTTCCCTTNTACCATGTTACTAGGTACTACTTGACGTTTGCAGTATTTTTCACCATTTTAAATATCTCCGAACCGAAAGTACTTACAATTAGAGGCATGCAGCTTTTGTGTTTCGTTTATTAAAGGAATAGCATATTATTTACATGTATTGCATGGTATCGAAATCGAAATATCGCGATAATCAATTACATCAGAAGTAAAGTTCAATTTGTTGATAGATGCAGCCTTTTCTTCTTTTATAGCCAGCTGCTATGTTCCTAACAATTCTAGAGTAACTGTTATTGTTATATCCTGATTTTATTACGTTAGAGATAACATAAATTTAGTTTGCCGAACTAATCCTGGTACATATCGTACAGATAGTCACGGGCAGTTTAGTCGATACGTTGTAAGATAAAGATGTTAATAATCACTTTTAAATGCAACTATCGTCTTGGAGAGTGTTCTACCATTCAGTTGTAATTCAACTTATTTAAGTTGATAACATCAACTTCTGAATCAAACAACCAAACTAAAGATAATACGTTTATTACTTAGGAATCGAAACACATCTGAGGGATGAATGTCCCTGTACCAATATTTATAGCTTATTCTTTTGATAAGGCCTAGTCACTATCAGTGAATTATGGCTGTTTACTTAAATATTGTGAGAAAGTCTATCTAGACAAATGTTAATATTGTTTATGAAATACTTATCTATCAAATATACCAAATACTTATATCTAACATTATTCCTCTTTTAGCTTAGTCCTAATCTGTTGGTACTCTATTAAGGAGAAAATTTTCGATGGCTTATTCCTGTTTAGTCGCAGTTATAAATCCTGCTAAGCGGAAATGAATATATTTATCCATTAAGAAACTTAGCTTCGACTGATACTCTATTAAATCCTGAGTTTTCAGTTGCTTTGTAGAATTTTTTGTAACCAATCTGTACCAGCCAATCTGCCGCCTGTAACTGAAATTCTGTTATAAATTATTTCGACTCCCAAAATCGAGAGCTAATGTTCGTAATGAAAATCGAAGAATCTTTGTTCGATATCGAGTACATAATTTACTAAAGCTTTATTAAAAACAGGAATAAATCGTTCAAGTTTTTTCTGCGATGCATCTGTCCTGTCTTTGCCAGATCTACATAACTCACCTATTTAAAGATGCAACTGGTATATTGTGCTAATTTGCGGCTTCATTTCAGTTAAGTTGACCGATTTTTACAGCGACAGTTGTAGACTTCACGAACTCTTCATGCCTAAATCCTCATTTTGAATCTATGCGAGAAAAATGAGACAATGCAGGAAAGTCATATCTTTTGTTTAGAAGTAATGTGAAATAAGTATTCCATATTGCCCAATTGTTGGCATTTCATTGTGCCCTACGCTACCATTAATTTAACTTAATATGATAGGTACTGAGGTTATTTTAAGATTTATGAGTTTGATATTAAGAGAAATATAAACAGAAACATGCATTTTGTGTGAAAGGGTACCCATAACTCGCGCAGGTTTCATGTTACATCACGTTTTATTCAATCTTCAACTGAAGGATCGATGTATCGTTCTTGTTTAGTTTCTTTTTGTAAACTTTTCTTTCAATTTTTTTTGGAGTCTCATTGAATACGTTTTTTTTGCTCATTTTCATTTTTGGACTCATTTTTCTTATTTTTTCCCCGTTCTTTCTCTTCAAGGTCTTCCTTAATTGGAATGGAGGTTAATATTAAGGCTTTTTCTTCCTTCCTGTTGGTTTTGAGAATTGATCGATTGATTTTAGGTAAAGATTTAATCTCAAAAACTTAATTTGTTAATTCAGTTTGACTGAGTTTTGCAGCTCAGATACACTTGCAACAACCAAATCTCCTTGAATCATACGTTGTCGTTTGTTTTCTTGTCTTTTTTGATCATTACTTTAGAAGTCCATCATTACAAAAGAATTTTTGCAAGCCGTATGAACTAGCTGAGTGTAGTCGAATTTTAGATTTCACTTCATTGTCTTGTTTTTTTTTATGTTTATGAAAGGTTCATCGTCACTAAAAACTTTGCTTTTTGCAGTAACGTAACGTACATTTTGTATGAAAGGGAACTACTTTATACACTCAACTCGAAAAGTTGCTCCCAAACCATCTGAATTCGCAAGATACTACGCACAACCTGTTAACAGTGCTGCCATGTTGTCGAACACAAACTCTAATATATACCACTAGATATACCAATATATTTTTGCTATTGAACAGCATATGGCGGTATTAATATTCAGTTAAATCCGGAATTTCATTTTGCTCTGCTATTCCACTTATATTCCCCTACAAGGAGTTCCATTTAAAATACTAAAGATAGAGTATAATACATCCGCTATAAGCGAAAGTCCTTCATATTTTAAGATTTTTAACGTCATTACGCACTTCAGTACTTACGCAACTTTTATTTGAAACATTTTTTTCCATTTTGAATTGTACGTGTATTGCAGACTGATTCGGACTCGCCGTGAAAGTTTTTAATGATTCTTTATCGAACGAAAAATAAATTCACCAACGGACTACATTTAATTATTTTTGAAACAGGTGAGACAGAATAGGGTAAAGTGAAGCAAGTTGACGAAGTTAAGGAAAGAACATTATAAAAAATGTATTACAAAAAAAGTCTACTGAAATAACGGATCATCGGTTAATTTTTCATCTACAAATCCATAAACGAAATAATAAATTATTAAGAAAAACTTTAAAATGAAAAGTTGCTGCATTTTTATCATTTTGCACCAATAGTGTGGTAAGCTGACGAACATATTGGGACAAAACGACGATTACACACAAAGGTCACATTTAAAAATATATCGATTCTCATAACTCGTACAGGCTTCATGTTACCCACTTTCGCATACATCACATTTTATCCAATCTTCAACTGGAGGATCAATGTGTCGTTCTTCTTTAGATTTTTTTTGGAACCTTTCGATTTCTTTTTTTTTTTGAGTCTCATTAACTATGTTTCTATTCCCTCATTTTCATTTCTTGGACTCATTATTATTATTTTTTCCAGTTCTTTCTCTTCAAGGTCTTTCCTAATTGGAATTGAGGTTAATATTAAGGCATTTTGTTTCTTCTGTTGGTTTTGAGAATTGATCGATTGATTCTAAGCAAAGATTCTAATCTCAAGAAATTTGATTTGTTGATTCAATTTGGCTGAGTTTTACAGCTCAGATACATTTACAACAGCTAAATTTGCTTGAATCCTACGTTTCGGTTTGTTTTGTTTTCTTTTTTGATCATTACTTTAGAAGTCCATTTTTGCAAAGCAATTTGGGCAAGCCTTATGAATTAGCTGAAGCCAGTCAAATTTTAGATTTTCCTTCATTGTCTTGTTTCGTTTTTATGTTTATGAAAGGTTCATCGTCACTAGAAACTTGGCTTTCTATAATAAAAAATCTGCGTCACTAAATCTGTGGCTTAGTAGAAGAAGTGGCGAAGTTGGGATGGCTCGTTTCTCAGTACGAAAAGTTTTTGTAAAACCAAAGTTTAATGGTCACATGAACGTTTTACTATATAGGTTAATTAGGGGTGCTATGCATTTCTGAGTTGTTTATTGTCTAATTTATAATGTCATAAGTTCAAAGGTTTCATATTTTCGTTTTTTCAATTTTTTTTGTGGACGCGGTCACTTCTTCCGGTAATTACCCATGAAAAGTTGGTAAAGAAGGCACAAAATCATCTAAAGTAGCGCTTCAAAAAAATGTTACATAACTAGTATTTGTTCGTCATCTCCATACACCCTCTCATTGAGAAGGATTTCGCCGTTGGATGTCAATGGATCAGCAATAAGCGATTCATAGAAGTGCTTACTTGCCTCGAACATGTATACAATTAACACCTTAAGGTTGTAGAAATGTTGTTGTCTTCAGAAAAGAGAGAAAAGATGTTCCGTCCCGAGAACACGCCTGGGCTTATCAGTAAGGCTGACTGACAATGTGCTCTCTACCTTAGACATCTGGAAACGTGTGGGGTCGTCACAGGATTCCCCGTCCAGTTTCGACGAGGGCGAAGGAGGTGAGACGATGTCGAGAGTCGGAAGGTGAGAAGGTCGAAGCTGAGAAACCGTCATGGATCTCCGAATTCTCTAAGCTCTTTTTTGAGAGACGCGGGGCGGGTTGTCGTGCGTGGGTTGAGAGACGTGGGGCTTGTTGCCGTGCGTGTGTGCGATGGTCATCGAGACGTCGAGATTCGAGAAGAGAATCGTTTGCGTGTACCCAGCGTGTAGGACTCGGAGGTAGTAGGGAGGCTGCGTTTTTTGTTCGTTGTCGGAGTCACTAGTGTAGATATCTCGTCTACAGAAAAGAGAGAAAAGATGTCCCGTCCCGAGAACACGCCTGGGCTCATCAGTAAGGCTGTCTGACAACGTGCTCTCTACCTTAGACATCGGAAACGTGTGGGGTCGTCACAGGATTCCCCGTCCAGTTTCGACGAGGACGAAGGAGGTGAGACGATGTCGAGAGTCGGAAGGTGAAAAGGTGAGAAACTGTCATGGATCTCCGAATTCTCTACGCTCTTTTTTGAGAGACGCGGGGCGCGTCGTGTGTGGGTTGAGAGACGTGGGGCTTGTTGCCGTGCGTGTGTGCGATGGTCATCGAGACGTCGAGATTCGAGAAGAGAATCGTTTGCGTGTATCCAGCGTGGAGGATGCGGAGGTAGTAGGGAGGCTGCGTTTTTTGTTCGTTGTCGGAGTCACTAGTGTAGATATCTCGTCTACAGAAAAGAGAGAAAAGATGTTTCGTCCCGAGAACACGCCTGGGCTCATCAGTAAGGCTGTCTGACAACGTGCTCTCTACCTTAGACATCTGGAAACCTGTGGGGTCGTCACAGGATTCCCCGTCCAGTTTCGACGAGGGCGAAGGAGGTGAGACGATGTCGAGAGTCGGAAGGTGAGAAGGTCGAAGCTGAGAAACCGTCATGGATCTCCGAATTCTCTAAGCTCTTTTTTGAAAGACGCGGGGCGCGTTGTCGTGCGTGGGTTGAAAGACGTGGGACTTGTTGCCGTGCGTGTGTGCGATGGTCATCGAGACGTCTAGATTCGAGAAGAGAATCGTTTGCGTGGAAGATGCGAAGGTAGTAGGGAGGCTGCGTTTAATGTAGATATCTCGTCTACAGAAAAAAATCCAAATAGACTAAGCAAGTATCAGCTTGTAAATTGTGCAGTACATTATCTATTACCTTTTGAAACGTATTCGGAGCGTTATTTAAATCGAACGACAAGTGGCCGTTTCCTACGAAAAATGCGTCTTATTCTTTCGAATCCGGGTGTATCACGATTTGATGAAAACAGGACGCCAAGTTGATAGTAGAAATGTATTGAGATTTACCTAGCTTGACAAGAATATCTGAGATAATTGTGTAGAAGGTGTCTATCGTCAACGGTTTTATCATTGAATTTGCGCTAGTCAATAACAACGGGGCATTTTCTTTTCCCGCTAGCGTCAACCTTTTTAGGAACTATTCATATCGGTGAACTGTGTGGGCTGTATGAAGGTCTTATTAACCCCGTCATCTAACACTTTATTAATTTATTTATTTTGGAATTTCCTGCTTGTTAATAAGAGGGTGCCTATAGAATTCAGAATGTACAGGAATGTTATCGGTATTTCTAATTTTTTTAACTCTTTCAATAGAACTTAATTTGAAATCTTCCTAATGAGATTTGTCGGAATACTATGACATTTTTAATTACTAATAGTGGTTAATATGAAATAATAATGTGAAAATTCATTTTCGATTTTCTTATCCACTACAAACTACACAATATTTATTCGATTCCCGGTGGGGATGTGACAACAGCAACAAATAATTTCCCTTATTAACCTGAGGTAGTTTGTAGTGGATAACAAAATCGAAAATGAATCTTCACATTAATATGTCGGAATATTCTTTACATAGTTTTTTCTCTTTTTTATTATTTAAGTGATCTGGAGGTAATAAAACTTTGTAATGTCTTTTACATTACTTTCAATTTAGCTATTAGGTCATCACAAAAGAAATATTCAAAATTTTGTTTATATAATGGTTGACACTTTCTATCATGGTTACAATAATGAGCTTATTTGATGTAAAGAGCAAAAGATGCTCTACCGGCTCTACTAACTGATAACGTTTCGGGAATTTGAATAGATTCTACTTGTTGATTTAAATTTATAATCTCACCGTTGGGTATTGAAACCAATAAGTTTTTTATTAGAATTTCATTTCATCCGAAAGGTGAAAATTAATTTCTTTTGAAGTGTTAAATTCAGAGAAGGTTTTTAGTCTAGCATGGTAATTATGATTATTTTCGCCAGTTGCTGCTTTAATAATATAAGGTTTTCCTGCATCAATTAATAATTTTAAAGATGTATTTTTTATTTTAATATAAGGTAATTGATTTAATTCTACACTGTTTAAATCTATCCTGTTTTTTTGGTAGAAACAAAGCTTCTGAGAATTTTAATTTTCTCCGTGGAGTCAATTTCTTCATTTTCTATATTATCAGTTTGAAATTGTTCTGGATAAATCGAATCGAAATAGTTGTAAATATAGTTTGTTGTTAAATTGTTGTTATTAATTTCTGTATTAAATAATTCCTGAGAAGTAAAATTACCGGACCGGTCGGTTTTGAATAATTGTCAGTCTGGTTAGTTCTTGTTATATTTCTCGTACTTACACACATAGACAGGGTTTAGGAAGATTAGCATGAACTTTTTGGTGCAAAAGCGTCTTGAGGTTTGTCAAATACTTGTTCATTTGTCGGAAAATCTTGTTGAATAGGTCTGAGAGCGGGCATATTTATAGGTTGCCTTGGAGACGATGATAGGTTGGATTGTCTGGGAAGCCATGACTGGTTTTGGCGTTGAAAATTAGGTCTGGTGTGATTATTTGAAAATTTGGCCTAACACTAAAAGAAGAATTAAATAAATTAAGAATATGTGTATTAGGGACTGAATTCTTTGGGTGCCTAAACTAAATAATATTTCTGAGATCAAACGGTGCATTACCCTTCATAATACCCATAAATGCAGTTCATTTTGGTTAATTAGTAATGGTTTTAATTTTACTTCAACATCGTTATCCCCTTAAACCTTCATATCTAGCCTAACTTGTTATCAATAAAGTTTAAAATAGGTCTAATCACATGTTAGAATTCTAATAATAAAGTCTGCCTATCTACATGATCTCCAAATTTTTGTTATAACGTAACTTCCAATCATCAATGTCTGGTCTACAAATTAAAGAATTACTAGTCATACCTTTGATCTTATAGTACGTATTAAACAATGATAATATTTACTTAAACCCTTGTCTTGTGTTCTATCATAACGATTGTGAAAGATATCACATGAGTTAATGAAACTTTGTATAGTAGTTTTAATGAATTTCCGTCAAATGTGGGTAATAAAGACCGTACTTTATCTGCTAAAAATATAGAGGCTCTTTCGGTTGTCATAACTGAACTAAAATAGTAGAGGAAAACTAAGGTAAAAAGGATGCCCACCTGCTTGCTATTCCCGATCGAATGCTACCCTTGGTGGTGGCGTCGTCCTCCGATGATGCCTTTATTTCTGAATATCAATAATAGTTCCTCTTGATGGTGACATTGTCTTCGGATGATTCAAGTCCACGCGAGTAATTTCGTTTTTACGCGTACAGACTAACATAATTCTGTTCTCAGCACCAATTTTATCTTATTTTTAACATAAATTACAATCAGTTTCTGCATCCGAATTACAATAATGATTAGAATAACAGTCAATAGTTATAGCAGTATTTTTAATGTCTTATCAAAATAGATAGATGTTATTGATAATATTTAGGTATAACTACAATACGAGGGTATTTCATGAATATAATTGATTAGGTCGATGCTTTGCGGTAAGGCCAACGATATGTCAAAAAATGGTACAGCTTATTTTTGTGTTTAATACTAAATTTTGGATGCAGTTCCCAAGTCTGCCTAGATTGATCATCCTCTGGTGTTCACTTCAGCTGATACTTCCACCAAGATTTTCTCAAGTTCCTGGTTTAAACCACCCATTGCCCTAGTGGTATATTGTTTAGTGTGTCTTCTCGCCAGCAGGTCGAAGAAAACTACAGTGAAGTTTATTCGTCTCTTCCCGCTGAAACACGGAATAGAAGAGACCTGCGGATAACTGGCTGCGAATAGCCCCGCTTGATTGGCGGATGAAAGCTTTAAGTAATGTCTGAGTAGAGGAGGAGTCACTGTCACTTTGCGGTTTGAGTTGGTCTGTTTTTGGAATTTAGTGCCCGTCGGTTCATGGGTATACCATGTGGAGATGTTGGTGATTTGAGTCAGCAGACCAAAGTCCTCTTTCCAAGTGCCGAAGGCACAATGGAAGAAGATTTGTGATGCTTCTTCAGGGGTGAACTTTCCTTGTAAGGAAGCTGTTTTGGAGCAGCTTATATGAGCAAAAGCCCCCGGCTCCAGACAAATTACAGAAGGTCAAAAAATCACCCTCTTGATTGACAGGAACTGAATGAAAAGCTGACACGAATGCGGACAGTGAGAATAACATTCTGGTGGCTTATTGCCTAGTAGAAGTCACATCGTCTTGCAAGGAAATAGCAGTAGTAGTAGTAGTCAATAATCACAACTGTAAAACTTTAATAATTTATTGAAGATGTTACCTGAAGATAGTTCTTCATATCAATATCAGTCTGCANGCTAAGCGGAAATGAATATATTTATCCATTAAGAAACTTAGCTTCGACTGATACTCTATTAAATCCTGAGTTTTCAGTTGCTTTGTAGAATTTTTTGTAACCAATCTGTACCAGCCAATCTGCCGCCTGTAACTGAAATTCTGTTATAAATTATTTCGACTCCCAAAATCGAGAGCTAATGTTCGTAATGAAAATCGAAGAATCTTTGTTCGATATCGAGTACATAATTTACTAAAGCTTTATTAAAAACAGGAATAAATCGTTCAAGTTTTTTCTGCGATGCATCTGTCCTGTCTTTGCCAGATCTACATAACTCACCTATTTAAAGATGCAACTGGTATATTGTGCTAATTTGCGGCTTCATTTCAGTTAA